TTCCACTGGTTTAACTTCACTATTAAATACCTACCTGGGGGGAAGAACTTCCTAGCCGACGCTTTATCAAGGTTGCCACAGTATAATAGTACAAAAACGGAGGTGGTGAACCCTCTCACGCCGTCTCCAGTAACCACACGGTCACAAGCAAACCCCTGGATAGCGAAGCAGGAACAGAGTTCAGATAGGCTCTGGAAACAGATGAATGGTTCCTGAGTCATAAAAACCTCTGCTCAATGTATGATGGATTGCCATGGGTGGGGGGAAAGCTATACGTGCCCAAAACCCAAAGACTGAAATTCATGCAGCTTTGTCGTGACTCAAAGGTGGCTGGACATTTTGGGTTTGTAAAGACGCTTCACCTAGTGAAGAGACAGTTTTGGTGGCCATCCATAAAGAAAGACATTGAAAGCTATGCCGCTAGATGCCCCATTTGTGCAGCTGTAAAGCCAGAGTAAAACACCAGGACTATTGCAGGCAGTAGCAAGCCCATCAGCATTTCCATGGATTTTATCATGGAGTTACTGGAGAGCGCAGGGAACACGGTCATTTGGAGGACTACAGACCTCAAAATAGCTGCACTTTATTCCATGCACTAAGATTACCACAGCCAAGACTCTAGCAAAGCTGTTTGTGCAACTTATCTACTGACTGCATGGGGCTCCGCAATGCATAATCACAGATGCGGGGGGTACACTTCAGAGTTCTGGAGAGTCTTTTTGGACCTTCTGGGTAGTGCCCAGGGCCTGTCATCTAGTCATCATCCGCAAATGAATGATGGGACAGAATGTCCAAACTCAGTATTGGAACATTATTTAAGATGCTTTATTAATTATCAACAAGACAATTGGACCGACCTGCTTCTTTTGGCGGAAGTGGCTTACAACAACGCTGTTCATTCCAGCACAGGTTATACCTCATTCCAAGTGGCAACGGGACAGAGTTTCAACCCAATGCCCGAATTGCCAGTCAACGAACCCACCATCCCCTCCCTGAAGAAGTGGATTGCACAGCTCCAAAATACGTTGTCGGTAGTGAGAAAGGCATTAGATGAGGCTAGGAAGCATACAAAGTGCAGGCAGATAAGAAGCGGGTAGAACCTAAGCCATTTAAAGTCGGGGAGAAAGTATACTTGTCCACAAAGTATTTAAAATCTCTACAGCCGTTGAAGAAATTAGGACCAAAATTTGTGTGACCATTCCCCATTAAAAAGGTCATCAACGCAGTAACCATAGAATTGGAATTCCCAAAAACGTTAAGACAGATTCTGTCAGAACCCACTTATTGGGAGGGGTTTTTTCTCATGGTTAAATCCTTTTCTCTTTCTGCCTGCGAGTTCTGTCATATTCCTGGGGGGAGAGGGGAAACTCTGGGAATTATACTGTATTTTCTTTACTTCGCTTAGCCGCTACAATGTATTCTCTCCACTTCCTCTATCTGCTTGCTCTTTGAACTGTTTCCCCTTGATGCCATCCTGGGATGAGAAAGCAATGTGCCTCTGGCTATCTGGGTTATCTCTCGCTGCAGAAGAGAAGGTGTGAAGACCTAACAACGGTTTCACATCCTTGGGAATGGCGTCTTATCAACCCTGTTCCCACAGCAGATTCAACACCTGGGGATTGGCCTGTTTGAACTGACCAGATTGGGGTGGGGTTTGCTTTTTGCTCTTTTAACCTATTGATTCGCGCGGGAACCCCTCAGATTCTGCCTTCTATGCCTGCTGTCAACTTCTTCTAATAAAGGTTTCTTTTGGGATGACTTCATTCCAAGAGTCCTGCTTTCTTGGGAAGAGGTTTTGAAGTGGGTCCTTACGGGTTCACTCGGTATTTCATTGTAGCCTATTAAAACCTGAACTGAGCTCACCTCTAAGGCCAGCTATGGTTCCTCCCCCTCCACCTATTATGGTGGAGGGAGAACAGCATTTTGAAGTCAAGGAGATCCTTAATTCCAGGAAACACCATGGATCAACACAATACTTAATAGCTTGGAAAGATCTCTCCTCTTCCCAGAAGGAGTGGGTTCCCAAATGACATGTCAGGGCTCCTAGGTTGTTAAAAAGGTTTCATGCCCAGTATCCTGATAAACACGACTAAACTATATGTACTTTTCTCTCCCTGTTATTATTTTCTTTCTCTCCAGGTGGATCTCTTATTTTTTTAAGGGGGGGGAGGCATGTCAGAACCCTATCTTTCTATGGGCATGGGGTTTCTTGTTCTTTTCAGATTCTGCCATTCTTCTGGGAGGGAGAAACTTGGGGTTGATAATGTGTATTTCCTTTGCTTTGTTCCTTGCTCTATCCTCTTTCATGTTTCTCTGTCTGAGTGAGAATGGAATGTGCCTCTGGCCATCTGCCTTATCTTCGGGCATGAAAGAAGCGGCGCAGAGACCTAACAGCCTTGGAAGCAGTGCCTTATTACTCCTTTCCCACAGCATTTTCACACCTGCAGATTGGCCTGTTTGAACCGTCTGGATGGACAGTTGGGGTGGGGTTATCATCGACTCTTTTGACTTATTGATTCGCGCGGGAAACACTCAAATTGTGCCTTCTATTCCTGCGTCAACATCTCCCAAAAAAGTTCCTTTTGAAATGATGCCCATTTCAAGAGTTCTACTTTCTTGGGAGGACTGATTGAGGTAGGTCCTTACAATTTCTCTAGATTAGGTGAATTTAGTCCACCATTGTGTTAAAATAGTAGTGATTTTGAGTAGACCTTTGATCATGGAAAGTCCACAGCATATGTAAGAACCGTCCCAGTGATAATCTCCAGGAATGGGTATTAAAAGACATACTTCCTAAAATATTGGATGTTATATATGCCTGGATGCAATTAACAACCTTTTCCATCTTGAGTTTATATTATTTTGTTTTCAAGCTATTGATTTGTGCAACCAATATTGTATCTTTTAGAAAATCCTCACAATTTAATTATCCAGTAGGTGTTGAAGTGCTTCCTCTGAACTCTCTATTAAGTCTCATAGGATGACCTCTGATTCTAATATTATGATAGAGATGAAGTGTTTTTTTCCTCACTTTCCTTACATTATATGCATGTGCATAAAACTTTATCACATTCTATCACTCTTCCAAGCTAAAACCTTTAAGTATATATTTTCCTTGGATGGGAATACTAGTCCCTTTGCTATTTTTTGCTCCATGCTCATGACCAAGGGTGGATTTGAAAAAACCCTGCATCTAAGTCTATATAGTGGTACCTCGATATTCGTTGTTAAATGATTCTAGAAGGCATGATGAGTACCAAAAATGATGAGTACCAAACAAAATTTCCCCATAAGGAATAATGTAAATAAATTAAATGCATTTCCAAACCAAAGACAATGCACATTTTTAATGTTATATGTAAAATGATAGGGTTATATATCACTATATAAGAAATAAACATAAAAATTAATAAATACGTACATTAAATAAAATAGAAACATTGCTTTACCTGTACTGATAAGACAAAAAGTGGAAAAATAGACAAAATGACCACAGAAGCTAAGACAAGACTGTACGGGGATGTGTACAGGGCAAGAGCTACTGCGTGACTAACGCATCATTTTTGTTTCGGCTGGAAAGGGTAGCAAGCCATGAGGCAACTGACAGCGACAAGTTCTAGCTTGAGCATTGACTACCGAACAAACAACAAGTACCAGGACATAATTTTCTCTTCAAAATGCATTGAGTACCACATTTGATGAGTTTCAAAGCAGTTGAGTACCGAGGTACCACTGTAGTTAGTTGCTTTTTCTGCCTTTCTTGACAAACAAGAAAAAATAGTCAAATTCATGATATGCAATTCCTTGTTTTCTCAGTAGGTGTCAGCAAATGCAAATATTTTTACCATGCATGATTAAAATGAAAGTCTACTAAAACACTTGTCACTTGCCAGCAGATAGTCTCAAAGGAGACTCTCATAGGTTCTTATTCCAGAAGCTGTTAATAAAGGTGAAGGACAAACCAGAAGTCCTTGTATCCTTGGAGACAAACAGACGTAGACTCTCTCTTGGCCTAATTACTTTAAGCCTTCTCTCTGCTTCATCATCTACCATTTTTGGCAAATTTGCTTCTTTTTGCTGCTGAAGTGCCTCTAACTTAACAGCTTCCAAAACTTCTTTGAGACTACTTGATAAGTAATCAGAAAGAATAGAGGTATTTGACATTCAGCTGTTCTCTTGAATACAGGAGTTGCACTTTTCTGTGCTTTTCATCTTTGCAATATCCTCTTTGATATATGATCAATCAAAATTAATTTTCCTCATTTAAGCACCCAAGAGATATGCATAATAGAATCTACCAGAACTTGGAACCTAAGTGTGCTGGCCCAGATTAGTACTTTGATGAGAGACTTCCATGAAAAATGCAGACTGGGTTAGAAAAGAAGTTGAAAAACTTCAAATTCCTTGTGGAATTTTGTGAGTTGAAGTCCACAATCTCAAAGTTGCCAATGTTGAGAAACATTGCCGTAGATGAAAGCAGTGGTAAACTTCTTTTACATTATTGGATCTGAAATTACACAACACAATTTCAATTCAAAGGATGCTATTTAAAAAACAACAACAAAACAATGGCAGTTTTAATGTCTCCTTTCTCAGGATCCCAAAATTGCATTTTTCTTTTTTAACAGGAATTGCAACACCACTTTCCATTCACATTTTCACTGACATTCTTGCATATCTATTTCTAGATCCCTTCTAGTCAGTTCCATGAATTAAGAATACATTTGCTTGAAGTGGCATGTATTTTACATCTCCCCATCTTTTTAAATATTCTAGTATTTGTTAAACTGATAAACCTTTAGTTTTTAGTTGTCTGTCATTTGCAGTTTATTTTCATGGCAACTGTACAACATTATACTATATATGAATGTACTTGATATTATTTAATTTCTTAAATTGATTCTTAATTTTAGTCCTACTGTGCTAAATGCATATTATATGCTATAATAGTTATTTCCTGTGTGAATAACGATATCTGTATCTAATCTTTTCATTTTTAGGATTCCAGCTCAAGTGATACAGTATTTTCATAATTTTCCCATGAAGTATATCCTGGTAACTGGTGGTGTCATTTCGGGTATTGGCAAAGGAATTATTGCAAGCAGTATAGGTACCATCCTGAAATCATGTGGCCTCCGAGTAACTGCAATCAAAATAGATCCCTACATTAACATTGATGCTGGCACGTTCTCACCATATGAACATGGTATTTGTGACAATTTTTTTTTATAAAGTGGCATTCCAGAACATATGATGTTTTATTAATTCCATTGCCCTTTTATGCACAAATATTTAAATAGAAATCTCATTTAGTTCAAGCTTGTTACAGCTTATTCTACTGCCTGTAGAGAATAAAATCTCATGGTCGTGACTGGCATTTTAAGGCCCTTTTTTTTTTAAATTAGTTTTATTCATTTATAACATAAAATGTGAAAATACAAAAGCAAATAACAGAGGACAACAGTAGAAAAAGGGAAAACAAAAAAGGTGTGAAGAAAGGGAGGGGAAGAAACAAAAGGCATTGACTTCCGACTCTGTTGCAATAAGATCAGACATTAAAATCAAATCTCAACTTTTTTACATTTCTATAGTAGTATGCACTAGCTATTTTTGTATTGGCAAATCAGTCTAATTAGTAAAACCCAAAATCATAATATCTTTTTTTTCCACCTCAAGCACAAAGTCCAGAAGCGGTTTCTAAGTAGAAAAAAAAGTACTTATGTTCTTTTCTTTTATAAGCACAGTCAGTTTGGCCATCTCTGCTAATTCCATCAGCTTTTGTAACCATTCGTCCATGGTAAGAATCAAGGCATCCTTCCACTTTTGTGCATAGAGCAATCTTGTTGCCGTCTCCATATATAAAATCAGAGTTCCAAAATTTTTCCCAGTTCTCTTTCCATTGGACTCAAAAGGAAAGTTTCTGGTTTAATCTTTATATTCACTTTAAGAATTTTCTGCATTAATATATGAATCCTTCTCCAATATTTCTTTGCCTTATCATATGTCTACCATAAATGATAAAAAGTCCCTTCTTTACATTTACATTTCCAACATTCATTTGAGATACCTTTATACATTCTAGATAACTTACCTTATGTTAAATACCAGCAATATATCATTTTGTAAAAAAATTTCTTTTAGGTTATAATTTTTTTTTAATTGAAATTTTTTAAAAGTTTTACAATATAACTCCCCTCCTCCCCAAAACCCACCCTTCCCCACCCCCCTCCCTCCCCCCCGACTTCCCAGAGCCAATCACAGGGTTAACAATACAATAAGTATACTCTGTCTTACATTATATCACTATTAAATTAACAATTCTATAACATCCTTTAACTCTTTTCTGAACAAACGTATTAAACATTATAATTATAACATCTTATTACTAATTAAAAAGAAATAAACTACATAAACAATCTAAAATTTACTCAAAAACCAAATGAAACTTTTTAGTTCCATATTTATTCTCAATATAATCTATCCATCTTCTCCAAACCAAAATATATCTTTCTTGTGAGTAATCCTTCACATAGGCTGAAATCTTAGCCATTTCTGCTAAATTTGAAACTTTAAATGCCCAATCTTCTATAGTGGGCAAACATTCCGTTTTCCAAAATTGAGCTACTAGTAATCTTGCAGCAGTTATCAAATTCAACATCAAATCCATTTCTTTTTTATCCAAATTTTCCATAATGCCCAACAAAAATAACTGAGGTTTAAACTTTATCTTTTTCTTAAAAATATTTTGAATATTCCACCATATCTTTATCCAAAATGCTTTAACCGCCCTACAAGTCCACCACACATGAAAATAAGTTGCATCTAAATTCCCACATCTCCAACACTTGGGTTGTAAATTAGGATACATACGGGACAATTTTTGAGGATCCAAATGCCACCTATAAAACATTTTGTAAAAATTTTCTCTTAAATTCTGAGCTTGAGTAAATTTTACATTCCTAATTCAAATTGTTTCCCATGTTTCCAATAGGATCGGTTCTTGTATATTTTGAGCCCATTTTATCATACAATCCTTCACCAATTCTGTTTCCGAATCCAATTCAACCAATACACCATAAATTCTTTTTATATGAGCTTGAGATTGATCTCTAATCTGTTTAATCAAATTTACATCCTGTACTGTAATACCAACTTTTTGATCCAAACGCCACCTCATTGACAATTGATTATAATAAAAACATGAATATTCAATATTTTCTTGTTTCAAATCTCTCAAAGATTTAAGTTGCCAATCTCGTCCTACCGGCAAAAGTAATTCTTTATATGAAACTTTATCCAATTTAACTCCCTTAGATATCCCCTCTATTATCTGTCCTGGACTTGCCCAGATCGGAATCTTATAATTTAATCTATAATAATATTTCTTCCAAACTTGAAGTAAAGCACTTCTCAAAATATGAGCCTTAAAATTTCTATCTACTTTTTTTTCATAAATTAAATATGCCTGCCAACCAAATAGCAGGTCCCATCCTTCAAGAGAAAGTATATTTCTATTTGTCAAGTTTAACCAATCACTAATCCATGTCAAAACCACCGCATCATAATATAGTTTTAACTTAGGGACTTTAAGTCCTCCTCGTTCTCTTATATCAGTGGTTCTCAACCTGTGGGTCGGGACCCCATTTGGGGTCGATCGACCATTTCATGGGGGTCGCCAAGCAAGGCTGTCTGCCATTTTTTTTGTCCGCCATTTTTTTTGTCTGCCATTTTTTCCCCCTTTTCCAGCGGGTGCCTTACCTCCCTTGGGCTGGGCCAGCTGGTGGTCGGCCTGCTCCATCTCTGCTGCTTGCCAGCTACGCCTCGGCCGGCGCAGGGGGCGGAACCACACATGCGCGGGCAGGGAAAGTCCTCGACTTACGACCGGTTGGGTAGTCCTCGACTTACGACCGGTTTAGTCCTCGACTTACGACCGGTTTAGTCCTCGACTTACGACCGGTTGGGGTCGCGGCATTAAAAAGGTTGAGAACCACTGTCTTATATCCTGCATAATCTTGAACCTAACTCTTGGTTTCTTGCCCACCCAGATAAATTTGTTGATACCCTTTTGCCATCCCTCCAAATTAGCATCTTTTTTTAAAATAGGAATCATCTGAAACAAAAAAAGAAATTTAGGAAGAACATTCATTTTTACAGCTGAAATTCTTCCCAACAGAGATAGTTGCAATTTTTTCCAATCATTTAAATCCTTTTGTACCTTAGCCCATAAGGCTTCATAATTATTCTTATACAATTTTGCATTAGAAGCTGTAATATAAACCCCCAAATATTTTATCTTTTTAACCATTTCAAAACCTGTAAGTGTAACTAACATATCTTTATCCTCCTTAGACATATTTTTCGGTAATATCTTAGTCTTATTACAATTTACCTTAAAACCAGAAACTTTCCCATATTGTGCAATAATTTCAACCACCTCAATTACCGAATCTATCGGCTGAGTTACTGTTAAGACTAGGTCATCTGCAAAAGCTCTTAATCTATAGTCAATCTTGTTAACCTTAATTCCTGTTATTACAGAAGATTCATGAATTTTAATTAACAAAATCTCCATTGTTAACACAAATAACAATGGGGATAAAGGACATCCTTGTCTAGTTCCTTTTTCAATTTTAAATGCTTCTGTTACCCCCCCCCCCCATTAACTATGTTTTATGTTTTATGTTTTTTATGTTATGTTTTGTATTTGTACTGTTTTTAATACGCTGTGCACCGCCCTGAGTCCTGCGGGAGAAGGGCGGTATATAAATTAAATTATAATAATAATAATAATAATAATAATAATAATAATAATAATAATAATAATAATAATAATAATAATAATAATAACTATAATCTGTGCTGATTGCTGTTGATAAATGGCCTTAAGAGCAGAAAAAAAAATTTCCCCAAAATTCATTCTGTCTATAACCTGAAACAAAAAACCCCAATCTAATTGATCAAATGCTTTTTCAGCATCTAAAAATATAAGAGCAGCCGGAATTTGGTTATTCATATCCAAATATTATTATTATTATTATTATTTATTAGACTTATATGCCGCCCTTCTCCCCATAGGACTCAGGGCGGCTCACAGCATATTAAAACAGTACCAAAGCATTATCCCCAATAAAAACCAATTAAAAACAAATATTTACCGCTGTGTCATGTTAAAATAATAATTAAAATTGTCCCTATTTAAAATTCTCCCTAGGCCAAATACTCAATTAAGTTAATAATCTGTCTTACATTATACTTCATGTATCTTCCAGTTATAAATCCAGATTGGTCACTGTGAATCATTTGACCCAACACTTGCATTAATCTATTTGCCAATACTTTAGAAAAAATCTTGTAATCTATATTCAATAAAGATATAGGTCTAAAATTCTTGGGTTGCGTCAAATCCTGACCCTCCTTTGGTATTAAAGCTATAAAAGCAGTCCTCCAAGTAGGAGGTACCTCTTTGCCCAGCAATATACTATTAAACAGTTCCTGTAATGGTTCTATCATTTCTTCAATTAATATCTTATAATAAACTGCTGTAAATCCATCTGTACCTGGAGCTTTACCAACCTTTAATTG